TTTATTAAAAATTTTAATTGCACGGCAAGCCTGCTAAGTTGCTGGTATAGCCCAGATGTTATAAGAACATGTAACCGGAGTGAAAAAAATCTTATTTTAGATTATTGTTGTGATTTGAACCTCAATGAAAATCTCGATAATAAGATTAGTATCACTTTAATCGCTTATTTGATCCTATAATTTCCTTCAACCTATCACCACTATAGGCTGCGTATAATATACACCACCAGGCTGCGTATAATATACACCACCAGGCTGCGTATAATATACACCACCAGGCATGCGTATAATATACACCACTATAGTATGCGTATAATAAGCATGTAACTCGCCGATGATATAAAATTATGATTTTATTTTGCGTTCACATCTCGTATTAATTTCCCAATTTTCTGGAGCCATTTAAAATTGCCTTACATCGTCGAAATAATTAAGAACACTCAAGAAGTAATTATACTCACACTCAGGAACCGCTAAATGGTTTAGCATTAATTATTAAATTAGATTATATTAATTAATTCAATTAATAAATTAGATTTTATTTCAACGATATCTCACTTGTTCTAAATTGAATGTATATAGGCTTCATCGCAATTCAGGATGATAAAGAAACCTCAATTTACGATGAAATGTAATTCATTTCACCTTAAAATTTAACTAATGAGTAATTTTTTAATTTATTCGCACTTCATTGCCGTTAATGAAATGTTTTAATTTTGTGCGCTTTAGTTTTTTGTGAGTTTTTTTTTTTGTGAAAAAATTCATGAGAGCAACAGCTTAGCGTATGTTCAGTGAGCACTCAAAACAATCGTTGTGCCGTATTGTCCAAATAGTCACATACTACTTACTGCGCGAAGCACTGATACACCCTTTTGCCGTGTCAGGATGACCCACATCCACGATGCAAAAAGTACATCGCTATTTTTACAAAGTGACACTCATTTGTTTGAGTGAGTATGTGTGTTGGACGGATATAAGGTAGCAGAAGGCTGCACGTTTCTCAATAATAAATATTACAAGGAGAATATTTCTGTAATTCATAATTGAATTCTGAATTTTACAATATTCAGAGCGAGTTGAGGTGTGTAGTTCACGCATACAGCGAGTCAAAAATTTAGAGGAAAATGAATGTAGATTAAGAATAATTAATGAATCATATTGTCTAAATAATGACTTTTTTATTGTCCTCCACAACACGTGCTTTCAGTTTATACAGAAACCGATTAGGAAATCGTGTATTCAAATCCTACTATGGAAAATATATGTAACATACAATATTCAACAGTATAATTTTAACAGAAGATGGGGCTGGTTTCTGATTACGTTTTGTGGTTGGTATAGTTAATGCAATCGACATTTTTTATCGTATTTGAATTTTAATTAAATATTTTCTAATAAAACTTAAACTTGAACTCCCAGCGACTGTACGAGTTGTAGTTTTCGGGAAAATTTCAGTGAAACTTCCAGCCTCTTGACTTTTATTGAATGCCCGAATATCATCAATTTCAGTATCATCAATAGCAGCTTCAAATATCATCAATTACAATATCATTAGAACAAGTATCATCGACAAGAATCATCTCCATAATTTATAAATTAAAGTAAGTAATTGATTGGAGGTAAATTAAAGTTAATTAAAATAAGTAATTAACTAAAGAGATAAATTAAAGTTCAGAGATAAATTAATTTAATTCGAAAAAATATCTTACGTTTGCGCAACGACAAGAACCCGACCGATGCGGGACGCTCACATTGCGCGGTGTTATCACAACACTCAGAAAAATGAGTGAAATTGTCCTAATAGCGATGCACTTTTTGGCCTTAGGTGAATCACCCTGACCCAGTTTACCCTGGCAATAAGGCGTATCAGGGCTACGTGCAGAAAGTGTGTCACTATTTAGACAGTATGACCCATCATTTTTTTCTGTGTGAGCTGTCGTATAATTAAAATACAATTGCGATCGAATTCTTTGCCGGAGTATCAAACTTGAAACCAAGCAAGGACAAATGAAAAGAATACGGCACACAGAGAAATGAGTGAGAAATTGTCCAGATATCGATGCGCTTTTATCTCTTAGTGTGGGTCAATCTGTTCAACTAAACAAAAGGGTGTACCAGTGCTACGTGCACTAAATGTCACTATTTTGACAGTATATCACATTCATTTTTAGCGCATTTTCTCATTTATGGAAAAAATGCACTATTGTGCTGGCCATGTCCGTCCGTCCGTCTGTCTTTCCGTCTGTCCGTCCGTGACCTCAAGTTTTCGTCGACGAGAAAATGCGCTCTCTGTCATTCACTGCAGTGAGTACTGAGTTATATTTTTTTTAGTGTAAGCTGCCATAACCTCACTTATTTCGCTATTACCTCGCAGGACGCCAAAGCATCGTATCAATATATTTAACTGAAATTAACTGCAAATTGTTGCCTACGGAACAACCAAATGAACACATTATAAACTTGGCCGAGTAAGCGCTGTAGAACAGCAACGAAACCGCCCCTTACACTTAGGAAAATTGATGGATCACGCTGTCCGTTTAGTGACAAACTCTCTCACCCATAGCAAGAGCGGCGATCGGACGTAGCACTGACGGACCAAATTGAGTCAGAATGACCCACATAAGCGAAAGAAACGCATAGTCATTTGGACAAAATCTCACTCATCTTTCCGAGTGTAGGGAACCATCGCTTGATACATTCAAGCGACAACCCACGCAGAGAAATGAGTGAGGCTTTGTCCAAATAGCGATACACTTTGCCCCACGTTTGAGTCATCCTAATCCTGTTTGTCCCGGCAATTAAGAGGGCATATCTGAGCTAAGTGCAGAAAGTGTGTCAGCATTTGGACAATAGAGCTCATCAATTTTTCTGAATGGCCGTTTTTATCTCCTGTTTTCTCTCAATTTCTCCAACTTGTGTACATTCAAAATTGTTATTATTCGCTTGATATATTAATATTTATTATTATTATTATTAAAGAGCAGGTCATAACGTGCCCTCGACGTTCTATTAAAGCAAGGCTCACCATAATCTCTTCGTAAAATAATAATAATAATACTTATAATGTTCCGCTGAGTAGAACCATCACAGCATTTCAGTTTACAGGCGTTTGCATGTGTCATAAATAAAAGATAGGTCGTAATCATTACCAGTTAGCATATGTATATGTACAGTATGTATGAGTCAAACATGTATGTCTTCAACAAATTTCATCTCAATTTTCATGTAAAAATTCCTATTGCCTGAACATGAAGTTTTGTGCTTCAAATTAGCTAGACAAAATACATAAGGTTTTATATTAATTATAATTTAAATACCATTTTAAAATTGAAGGAAATCAACGAATAAATAAATGTTCCCGAAACAAGCAAATGGAAATAACACGGCAGGCACACGTGCAGAAAATTGTGTCAGTATTTAGACAATATGACCCACTCACTGTTCTGAGTGATATCTTGGGGTAAAATATGAGAGCGAGAGAGCCAGCAGAACTGTAGGATGGAACAGCCTTCAAGGAAGATTCTCCGAGAAATACGCCTTAAAATTAAATAAAAAACGCATAAAAGAATAATGATAAAGTATTATTGTGCTCGCAGACGAAGAATTTACGATAGAAATACTCTAGACGAAATCAAGAATTGAAGAAAGTAATAAAAGAAATCTCAAATCAATAAGTTGTTACATTGAAATCATCAATATTAAACCTTTGTGAACAGGTAAGTTATCCGTCATCAATGGTATTCCTACCTAAACGCCCGGCACCCGTGAGTTACCAACTAGATACAGAAGAGACCAGCTACCGCCATTAGATAGAGAGATAAGCCACTGGGCACTATAATCAATCACTATACTGTGGTGGTGCAGTGGTGAGAGACTCCGTCTCCCGCACCCAGCTCCCGGGTTCGAGTCCCACTGAGGACAACAAATTCTTCCGGGAAAGCTCATGGTCAACTCAGCCATTCATCCAACTCTGGTTGATAAATGAGTACCTGGCTTGTCCAGGGTGTTGTGTAATGCAAAAATGGTGCTGTGCAAAAATGGTTCTGTGTAAAAATGGTTCTGGCAGGTCAGCGAGCTAGTGATGGTCGTAGAACTACCAGTGGTACTGAGTGCCCGGAAAAACTGACCTATCACCCCCCCTCCCTTACCTAGTCGCCACTACCAGGATAGGCGATTACAAACACATAATCAATCTGTTGTCACGATAATCGACCAGCTATGACGATAATTAATCAATTAAGACGATAATCAATCAGTTATAACGATAATCTATCAGTTATAAGATAATCTATCAGTTGTGACGTGACGATCATCAATCAGTTGTGAAGATAATAAATATGTTGTGACGCTAATCAATCAGTTATGGATGAGCTCAGCTGGATGGTGAAGGCTGAATTACAGCAATTTCGAGCTCTCTGCTCGAGTTGTAGGCAAGAAACAAGAGTCACTATTTGGACAATATGATCCATTCATTTTTATGACTCTCTAATATTATAATATTAGATGTAAAATATGAGCATGCAAATTTAACTCATGTAAAAAATATCTAATTATGTCCACATTATAAAATTTACCAAAAAAACTCGAGGGCAACGTAAGATTAATGCAATACACTGAGCCAAAGCAAAAATGTTAAAAAGTAGAACATCATAATGAAAATTATTAAAAATTCGGATCGAGTTAAAGTTCTCTTCGGATGCCTATTTCCGGACTGAATTAAGTATTTGAGAAGAAATAATTATATATTAATTAATTAATTACACGAGACGACGACGCGGTAGAAACCACAACCTAGTTAGGGTAATTCATCAAGATGCACTCAGAGAAATGAGAGACATATTGTCCAAATTACGATGCAGCTTTCGCTCGTGAATGTGTGTCATCCTGACCCAGTTAGGCCACGCAAAAGGGATTATCAGCGCTATGTACGCTTCATGGTTGTGCTATTAGTAAGAACGTGTGTCAATATTTGGACAATATGATGCATTAATGTTTTTAAAAGTAACATAGATCCGTAACATTAATCTGAAACTCCAGAAAACTAGAAATCATTACCAAAAACCTCCACTTTCGTGACAATTATGTTTGAGATGGTCGTCTCACAATAGGACAGTGATAAGTAACACAGTAAGGAAGTATCTAAACCTAATAAGTAAAATGTTATCACGAGTCTTTCAACGAGACTGTGCAAAAATTCTTGGCAATCCATACTAAGGTCTCAAAAATAGTACAAACGTCAAGATTTAAAAAATCAATAAATCTGAACGGCCTTCAACTTGAGACGAATTACTTGCATCGGTCTTCACAACACCAGGTCTTTGTGTCCAAATTTGCAGTGTACGGATGCCCGTTCAAGTTCACAACGGATTAAGAATTTATGGCTAGGCTTTAATAATGCTGAAAACAAATCCAAAAATAGCCTTCAAATTTGGGCATTAGTTATATGAACTGTAGTTGGAATTTCTCAAAAGCAAGACAAGAGTAAAATTGTAGCCCAAATCCCAACAGAACGCGATTATAAACACACGAAATGTCAGGGAGCGCATAATTCCACACGATGGAAATCTGAGGTTTCACTGGACACAAAAGAAACCTTCAACTTACACGGCTTGTATTTCCAGTGAAATTACAAGCCGATAATCATGTTCTAATAAGACAATGTTAAGATTTATGTACAAGCTTAACTTGGTTTAAAAACGAGGGAATCAACGCTGTGAATCCAAGCCTTATCTATAGCGAGCCAGTGGCAAAAAGTTACAAAACTTCTAAATTCTGACACTTTAAATACATTTTCGAGCGCAATTTTTAATGTAATCTAATCTTAGTTTTAATAATGTATATGCGGATAATTCACTTAGTGCGCCGCATTCCTGCCCGACCACCGGTTGTTCAGACTCATTCCCGCCCGATCAGCAGTTAGTCTAACTTGTTCGGCCCCGACCACCGGTTGGTTAGACTCATTCAGCCCCGACCCCCAGTTATTCCGACTCATTCCCGCCTGATGACGCAGACTCTTCACTATTTTTTTCTCGATCGGGACTTGATGCCCGAGAACCATTGGGGCTTGCATCTCGAGACCCGTTAGGACTTGTGCCTCGAGACCTATCAGGGCTTGTGCCTCGAGACCTATCAGGGCTTGTGCCTCGAGACCTATCAGGGCTTGTGCCTCGAGACCTATCAGGGCTTGTACCTCGAGATCTGTCTCGACTGGCACCGCGAGACTCGTTGACACTGTCCTCACGAGACTGATCAGGGCTTGTACCACGAGATCTATTGGCACTTGAGGCACGAGACCGACCAGGACTTGCTTCTCGGGACTGGGGGCTTGACTCTCGAGACCGATTGGAGCTGGCATCTCGAGACTGAGCACTTGACGCACGAGATCGGTCAGGAGTTCGGTCAGCACTCGTGGCTCGTGAACGATCGTAGCTCGAGTTGCGAGACTGGCGAGAAGACTCATCGACTGGAGACTTGGGTCTCGACCTAGAGCGAGACTCGCAATCAGCAGGACTTGCAGATCTCGAAGGAGGAGACTTGGCTCGACGAGGACTGGCTGATCCTGAAGGTTTGACGGGGCTTCTTGATTCAGACCGAGACGAAGACCTAGTACGAGACCTAGACCTCGATTTCGACTTTGATCGCGATCTCGACTTTGATCTAGATCGTGATTTAGACCTGGACTTCGATTTTGACCTAGATCTTGACTTTGATCTGGAAGGCGATATCGATCTAGATTTTCTAGAATCATTTTTGGGACTACCGGACCTAGAGCGACTTGCCGACCGAGAAACTTGACCACCGTTTCTATTGGGGCTCTCACTTTTACCTTCCACGTCATCCTCGTCGTCGATTACATTTTTGGTTATCCTCTTCTTTGGCTTTTCGCTCTTTTCCTCAGGCTCTTCTTCCTCTCCTCCCGTTGCTCTTTTCTTCTTGTCCTGCTGAGACGTGACTCCATTCTCCCCCAGCTTCCTGGAGTTAGGGGCGCCTCCAGGAATAGAGTTTGGAGTTCTTGGAGTCGTTGCTGCCAAAATGCCCGTAATGTTGGCCAGGGCAGCGTTGGCTGTTTCTTTTCGGCTCTGAGCGACCAATTTGGCCCGACCTTTGGTCAGCTGAGCGATTTCACGATTCTGGTCCTGCTCAAACGAATTAATTTTAAATATATTTAAAAAAAAATGAAAATTCATTTTAAAAATTAGCATTCAAGCTTTTCAAAGTTGAAGATGTATGGAACGTTCAAACTAAGATCAATTGTCAGTTGGGGTTGAAGATATATGAAGCCTTAACTTGACACCGCGACTACGGGTATAAATAAACTTTTTGACCAAACTAAATGTTTTCACAGCTGCTTCAGTATCATTCAAGTTTCAGGTAACGGTGAGATAATTTTCGTCAATAATCACGAGCCATCAGGAGAACATGATATTCGATCATAGTAACATGATATGCGTCATTATGCGATCGTAGTAACATGATATGCGATCATAGTAACATGATATTCGATCATAGTAACATGATAAGCGATCATAGAAACAAGATATGCGATCATAGTAACATGATATTCGGTCATAGTAACATGATATTCGATCATTGTAACATGATATGCGATCATGGAAACAAGAACATATATAGAAGACAAAAGCAAAACCTTTATTTTGAGCTGCAGCATCGTTATGCGCGACCCGAGCTCCCGGTCTGAGATTTGCTGTTTCTTTCGTAGTTCCTGAGAGTCGGTGAAATGCGAAGCCTTCAGCTCCGTCATCTGAAAATTACATTCATAATTTGTACAAAAAATATGAGAGGTGGATTCTGTTTATTCTATAGTCACGTCAAAGTTCATTAAAAAAATGTAACTCAGTACTCATTGCAGTGAGTGACAGAGAGCGCATTTTCTCGTCGACGAAAACGTGAAGTCACGGACAGACAGACGGACAGACAGACGGATATGGCGAGCACAATAGTGCATTTTTTTCTAAATGAGAAAATGCGCTAAAAAGAAAGACAACAATGAAACTGTTCCAAGGTAGCTGTTCATTGTATCGCGATACACGTGTAATAATTTCATATCCACTGAGAATCTTGCAAACGCGTCACAATATCCATAAGCGGGTTGACTGCTACCACGCTGTAACATACGAGTTAGAGTCGAACTTCATCTTTATGTACATTGAATCTTCTTATCACTCTTACCACTGGTCGTACTATTTAAACTCGCCGGACTACGTGCACTGTCCGGTACACGTAGCGGCCGAATTCTCGTCTGTGATTGTTGGGTTTAGCTTGAAAAAAATTGCGTGAAAGTAATTTGCTAACGGAGTTGAGAACTCTTAACTATTTCTGATAGTAAGGCTCTATATCTCTGCCACGACTTTGATTTAAACTTCAAAGCAACGGGCAGTTTGTAGGCAGCCAATGAATGGCCAGCTCTAGGGTCATGCTGTCCATATCTTGACACACTTTCTTACACAGGGGCCATACTTTCAAAACTCGCTAAGTGGGCGTAAATACTAACGCTATATTTTCTTGTCTATGATTGGTGGATTTTTCTTGAAAGTCTGTCAATGATTGGCTGATGAACTTACGATCACTTATCCTAACTCATTTCTCTGGGTGCAGGTCGGTCGGTCGTCGTAGTTATTAGCTTCAGAAGGTCAATGCAAGATGATGGTTTTCCATTAAATGGGAAATGGCGCGCAATTGCGTAACTAACACGTTAAGTGTAGCACGACCCACCACGGTTGCCAGATGGCCTTAAAACGGCCAAGTCAGCCGACAAAAAATGCTTATTATTCAATATTTACTAGTAAATTCGTAAGTTCCGATGTGCAAAAATTAAATTTTCCTTTCATTCGTACTTTTTAAAATATTAGAAGGAAGTGCGCCATCATAAATTTTTCCCGGCTAATGCAATTAAAAATATAAATAGAGGAATTTGTCCAGTAAAAAAAAACCTGCAACACACCGGTGGGTTGTGCCGCACTCAACGTGTTACGTTACTGCAAAGACTCTATACAGGCCAGCAAATGTGTGACCAAGCAGGCTTGGTCCTTAGCCAACAAGGTCTGGCCCTTAGCTGATGACCTCAGCTTACCTGACGATCCTTGGTCAGCAAGGTCTGGTCCTTAGCTGACGACCTAAGCTCACCTGACGGTCCTTAGCCAGCAAGGCCTGGTCCTTAGCTGCCTGGTCCTTAGCTGCCTGGTCCTTAGCTGACGACGTCAGCTCACCTGACGGTCCTTGGCCAACAAGGTCTGGTCCTTAGCTGACGACCTAAGCTCACCTGACGGTCCTTGGCCAGCAAGGCCTGGTCCTTAGCTGACGACCTAAGCTCACCTGACGGTCTTTGGCTAGCAAGGCCTGGTCCTTAGCTGACGACCTAAGCTTACCTGACGGTCTTTGGCTAGCAAGGCCTGGTCCTTAGCTGACGACCTAAGCTCACCTGACGATCCTTGGCCAGCAAGGCCTGGTCCTTAGCTGCTAACTGCTTCTTCAGACCAACAATTTGCTCCCTAAGTTGAGTGATGATCACGAGATGATCGGCAACGTTGGGATCGCTGTCGCTGCGGTGGTGGTGGTGGTGAACGCCAGCGCCGCTACCTGCAAGGACGCTCGTAGTTACTGACAAATGCATGGTCAGGATAGCTTTTAGAATTATTATAAGAAGTACAATTGAAGACGTCAAAGAGGTTTCTGATGCAATGAAGGCCATAATTACTCTGCTGTCTAGATAAAGTTTGGGAGAAATTGTTATCAGAAGGGAGTTTATTGAAGAAGTTAAAGTTAGGTTTTTAGTGCAATGTTGGCCATAATTACTCTGCTGTCTAGATAAAGTATGGCAAAAATCGTTATAAGAAGGGAATTTTATTGAAGCCGTTAAAAAGTTATTTCAAAGCCATGTTTCTTGTATGCCCCACGAAACGAGACAAAATGGTTGTTAGTTTTTTTACAATGAAAATCAAGACTCTATTGATAGCTTAATTAATATAGGTATTAATTATTAATATACTGATAATTAATCTATCCTTAAAGCTCAAAATTTGTTACAATATCACTAACAAGTAACACGGTTAAGATCTTTACAATGCAGGTACTCTTCGGACGATATGATGTATATAATGTACACAGGTTATAACCAGCACATAAATAAGTCTAGCTAAATAAGTCTAACTGCGTCCTGACAAGTCCCACGGCGTTGACCTAATAAAGACATCAACATTTAGTGATAATGATCCATCATCAAATATCCCTTTGAGCTTGAAATAACATTCTATCAGCAATCATCCGTTCTTATCAGTAATATTGATCCATCAAATCTATATGTGACTTCATGACCTGAAATAGTGATCTATCATCAATCACTTCTGGGTTAAAATTGCAATCAATGAATGATAATAACCAATTTCTTCAAAACCTGCAGAAGCAATCCATCACGGAAAATTTCATCACTTTAAGATGCAACCAATCAACACTCAACATTTCAGGATCTAAAATATATATACGATTTTAGATCCTGATCCTAATCATTTAATCAAGATTATTTTTAAGGGTTTAAAACCACAACAAAGTCAAAATCAATTTGAACTAATACTGCTGATAGAAACGAAAAAGTGGATAACATATTGAATGAATTAATAATTAATCTTATAACTTCTCGAGTTTATTTAAGTCTGTAGCTTTTGAAATTTTTCTTCATTAAAATGATCGGTGTTAATATATTTTGTTGAAATATATTTGGTAAATAAGAATAAAGCCTTCCGTTACCACAAACATTAATTCATGATCGTAAGGAACGACTGAATAAAAATAATTAATAAAATAAGTAATAATAAACAAACAACAAATACAAATAAATGAACCGCGTGTCTTCCTAGCCAAACTCTTTGCCTATTAAACTGTGTTCAAGTGTCCGATTTGTAGCCTTTCTGGAAATGTATAAAGAAACATTAATTACAGACTTGCATTTATACAACCCTAAGTCTTTATTCTTTAGTATTAATATAACCGTAAGAATTTAATTCTTGTATTAATGCAACATAATAATTTAATACGAGAATTTATAATACCCAGCGTACCATGAGGGGCACCAGCGGGTGTGGGTCCGGCCCTACGGGCCACTTTAGCCGGGGGCTGTTCCGGGTCTATGAGGCCTATCTTAGAAACGTCAGGCCTGTTGGGCCGTTTGTTGTGCCCACTCATACGGGCCGAGTGGCCCCCACTCGAGTGGCCGCCTGAGTGGTGGAGGAACTGAGACCCACCACCGCCGCCGCCGCTCCCACCGCCTGAGTGATGGCGGGATTGATGTCGGGATCTGATGAAGGAAAATCATGAGAAATACGCGAACTGGAACAATATCAGAACTAAGAAATTCCTTGTAGAGATATCTTCTAAATTAACCCTACAAAAATTCCTCTAAACGCTCACTACAAAATCCTATATATGCTCCCTAAAAATTAGTGCTCCCTAAATATGTTTAAGCTCCCTGAAAAATATGCTTCCTAAATTCTTTAAATTCGCAAGCAATGAACAGAGACAAGAACCTGGCGTTACTTCAGTGAACCGAGAGAGGAAACAACCTAAGTCAATCAAGTTTGAATGCAATCCTCGTATTGGACTTTAACCTTTTTAACACAAACGTGACCTGCCCTAGTGATAGTCAAGCCCACTTTTCTTTATTATGACCCACACCTCCTTATCATGACTCATTTACTCTCATCATGACCCACACCCCCTTATCATGACTCATTTACTCTCATCATGACCCACACCTCCTTATCATGACCAACTTATGACAACCCACCCCTCCTTGTCAGCCCGGCTGCTGGAGTGGCTAGACCTGCTGTTGAGCTTGACGTGCGAGTGTCTGGCAGGATCTGTCACCTTCGTCTTGGCGAGCGCACGGCGGTAGGAGAGCGTGCACAGCCAGCACAGCAGCTTCCCATCAACCTGGGCATAAAAGTGAGTCGAAAATGGATACGAGTGAGTCAAGAGCTTGCCCTCAATCTGAGCACAAGGTGATAAAGGTGAGTCAATAGTGATGCACAGCTGATGGTAAAGCAAACATGTCAGTTGGCAATAAAAGGCAAAAAATTTCGAAGATAAATATGGTACTTCAGATTACAGGATAACAAAATTTATGAGATGTACAATTTGATTAGAATCACATACAATAACTAAATACAATAAAAACATGGAATTACCAACAAGTTCACACACCAGAATCAAATACAATACCTACATATCAAATTGCAAGCATTGATGTTGAACCCACAACAAATTTCCCTACTACATAGTGGATGAGCATAAACTTTTAAATTCATTTATGAGTCCTATGAGTAGAGCAGTAAAGTTCCATGAATACCAGCATCATCATATATACATAGACAGTGAATACTAGGTATTCTTCTGTCCCTACAGCTCATTGATGCATAGGTCCTATAATATAGCTTATTATTCATCAAAATATGCCATTATAAGGCTTTTTAACCATGATATAGCTTATCATCTATCATGGTATATCACAATATAGCTTTTCATAAGCCACAAAGAACAATACTAGTACAGCTCTTCATATACGGTATACCATAATACAAGGCTATAATATATCGTATTATAGCTTATCATAAACTGACAGTACAGTAGACAAAACATACCTTCCTCTTGTCCTCATCTTTGCGGTCAAAGGCACACTTTTGCTTGCACTGGTCACAGGTGAGAGGAGGCCCGTACTTCCTCTCAGCATTGGCACAGCGCTGACACTTGGACCCGATGAATGCAGCGATGATGTTGCAGTAGTCGCAGGCAGACGGCTTGCCACATTGCTTCACCATCGACTCACATTTCTTACAGATGGCCACAGTGCTAGACTTGCTGAGATTTATAATAGGTTGTAAATTTAATAAGGCTTCAATGACAAATAGTAATTTATGATTAATTAGTTAAGATTTAAGACAAATAATTAAATTTTCAAAACAATATAGCAACATATTTTTAGTATGAATAAACAGAAGTCTGAATAAAAATTATATGTAGGTAGTTAATATAAAGAGATAAATTTTACAGAAATTTTTAGTTACAATTTGATCAAATTTTGTACCCACTAGATTTTATGAAAATTGTTTCCATTTAGTCCAGAAAATTCAGTCAATGTTCAATTTGTTGGTTTAGGACAACCCAACAAATTCAACGTTCAATTTGTTGATTTAGTACAACAAACTAGCTAGCCAGTCAGTGCCATGCCTGTACTCCCTCACCTCTCCTGCTGAAATTCACTCCTGCAGTAGGTGCATTTAACCATGGGGAAAGAGCCACGGCATTCCTGTAATGAAATTAGAGTTATTAATAAATCAGATAAATGAAAAATATGCTTTAAATTTCAATTAACCATGGGGAAAGAGCAATGCAATTAAATTAAAGTTATAAATAAATATATCAGATAATTGAAAAATTATGATTCAAATTTCAATTAACCATGAGGAAAGAGCCACGGCATTCCTGTAATTAACATGTTGACATTCGATTGCTTCATCTTGTACTATTATTTCATTTTTTTTACTTTTTTTAAGCAGGGTTGCCAGACAGTCATTTTTTCCGGACAAATTCTGTGATTTAGTTTTTCTCAATTGCGTTGGCCGGCTGAAATTTATGATAGGGGTACTTCCTAATTAAATTTTATATACCGTACTGCAAAAAGAAAATAAATGGAATTTTCAGAGCTTAACCTACATATAAACTAGTATACCTTGAATTATCGGCCTTTTTTGTTATTGACGCATATGTCAATACGTAGTCAACGCGTATTGACGCATATGTCAATACGTAGTCAACGTGTTAAATTAGAGTTATAAATATATTTAATAATTGAAAAATTATGCTTTAAATTTCAATTACCCATGGGGAAAGTCATGGTGTTTCTGTAATGAAATTAGAGTTCTAAATAAATCAGATAATTGAAAATTATGCTTTATATTTCAGCCAAAAAAAATCCAACAAAATTCTGCATCTTGTGTAGCAAGCAATCAAAAAATAAATGCAAAGGAAATAAATAACAAATTTAAGCCTAGTCTCCCCAAAATATTAGGATACATAAAAAATATATCCTTGTAAAAACACTCAGGTATATACTATGTATAAATAAATATTTAGTAAAATTTCTTCATTAATTTAATATTTTTCACCACACACTAACCTTGCAAAGCTGCTGCCCTTGTGACAGTTCATCAAATGGGTGCCTGCTGAAGCATTTCGAGCAAGCAAACAGAGCCGACATAATTAAAAAGAGTTTCTTTTAAAAATTCAGATGAATAGGTTAAAATCCTGAAAAATGTTTAAATGAGTCTGTTAAATTTTGAATATTTTATTCCTAAATTATATTATTAATAAATACTCTATTAATAATAATAAAGATAATATATTCATAAATAATCATATGGTATAGTATTAAATTATTCAAAAATAAACTATTAAAGGAGATACTTCAAAGATCATATTCAGTAAAATTGTAATTTTGAGAAATGTAAATTTTCTTTTGAAAATGAGATTTTCAAAAGAATCAGGATTATTCTAACCTTGAATGAAATTAGTATTACGGTTGTGATCTTTCAGAAAAATAAAAAAATATATATGTAATATCATATCAAATTGTCTCTAAAGTGAAGAGAATTATTTTGCTGGTATTTCTAAGGCAAGATTCTATGCAAAACTCATTAGAGTTTGAATACCAATTGATTCAACAGATTAGCAATAGAGTCATGGCTCAAAAATTAAACTCACAGATTGGAATTTTTCATAGCAGCAAATTCAATACACTTACAACCCAAATAATCCAGTTGCAGCTTAATATGGGTATGGGCAAATATCTATGTGGAGAGCAAAACAAGAAATCGGAATGGTGGACCAGCACATTTTATCCTCAACTAGCAGTAAGCCTTTCATACTTAATAATACCTCCATGCTTAACTGAAATGTTAATTTGTTCAACTCAAGGATTAAAACAACCATGTGAATCTCAATAATAACCAGGTCAACTCATTTATTGAAGATTGTTTCATTTACTTGCCTGGCTGCATTTTGCAATCATTGCACAAAGTACATGAAAATGTTGTACATCTTCTTAGGTCAGTAGCACAACATATATATATAGGTACCGGTATATATATATAAGATCAATATATTTTTGTGCATGTTCCTCAAATTTCTTAATCCTGCAAGGAGGCAATGAGTATCTTATAACAGATGCCAAAAATACAAGGCACAGCTGTGTTTTGTTCTGAGTAACAAGTTTGATTCAATTCAGGATTGGAAATTTGGAATTTTCCTACTTTTTGATAAAATCTTGCAGCTCCTAAAGTGACATTTTTATACACGTGGAATCTTTTAACACGATTGTGCACTTTCTTAACAATTACATTGGAGTAAATAATCTAGCGGGAATCTTACAGATGCAAAAAAGGCAGGAAAGCTCTGATCACAGCTACAAATGTAGTTGTATTCCATGCCTCATTCAATTTATAGATAAAAACTCATTTACTGCATTACATTTACTTATCAAAATTGTAATGGTTACAGGCATGCATTTTTCAACCTAATTTGCAGAGTTGCTTGTCTTCAAATGTGCAATCCTTTATGTTAATGGGAATACAAGATGGTCATAAGCAGCACACATGCTAATTGCAAAGTCCTGTGCTCATGTCACCACAAATCTAAGACTCCAATTGTATGATAGAAACAGCAACAAGAACATTTGTTTTTACTTTAGAGGCAACTGAACGTGTGATAATGTATTGTTTATGTTTTTGTTGAAGAATAAAAGCAGTTATAATGCGTCTGATCTCTGATGTGACTGCAACTATGCGGTCTCCAACTAAATGTTTTGGGTTGATTCATTATGCAGGAAATTTCATAACATTACTTAACATAGCAATGTTTCCACAGAAGAGAAGGCCTTATGTGGCCTGTCGTGGATTATTGTACTTTATATTATTTGTTCACAGAAGATTCAAAAGCATGTCCATTGACCAGATCTCTTCAAAACCAATGATAGTTTGAAACAGCTAAGAGACTTCCACCGGATTTGATATGGCATCAAGCATTATCCACATTTTGGTGGGAGTGTGGTACTAAGTACTGAGGAAGTTGATAATTTAGTGAAATAACATGTTTGCGATCAATGATTTCTTCAATCAAACAAAAATACATTACATTAGAGCCACGATATTTCATACCCCAGGAAATTATGATATTAAAGCCATAATATTTCACAAAAAAATGGACTTTTTCTTAACAAGCTGGGGTGCTTCTTAACAAGATCCATGGTAGGAAAGCTCTGGTACTGCACATAGAGTACTGGTTGTGGCTTGAAAGAGATATGTTCAATGCCTGATTGATGGTAGATCAAAAAACAAATATCAAATTATCCAAAATACTGTGCCAGTATATATTGTGGTGCTTAGGCAGTTTGTAGCGTATGGCAAAACATACAGTAGGTCAAGGATGCTGCTATTCAGCCCAAAAGACACCAAGGCATCATCTTAACGGGAGGTGGATGGCAAAGTTTGCAGCAAGTGGGGTGTGAGGATGCCAAAACCGATTGCACATGGTTTGGAAGGTGCAGCCCGTGCACCAGAGGTTTATTTTGAGATGTATGCCAGTAATCCAGGAAAGTAAGGTGCCAGTATGCTTGTTAAAAAAAATAAAAATCTGACTGATGCCCAATGATTGACACGGATGCATGTCCGCTTTGTGATCAATGTGGCCAATGCCAGATGATCAACGCTTATGCACGCATTTTACAATTAATATAGTCTACGCCTGATTATCAACATGGATCATGATTTGTTGATCATGATCATGCATTGATTTTATGATCAATGCGACCAATGCCCAATGATCAATTCTGATGCTCCCACTGTTACTGGGGGTAATCTTAGGGCAGACCATGCTCATGTGTTTAAGCTCACAATTGTCAGTTTCATTCATTTATTGTTTTAATTAACTGCAAGCATGGTTATTATTTGACATATTTCATGAATTTGTGTCAAATATTGCCCATGTTTTTCTGTCTTGTTTCAAGTATTGAATGACCCCATAAACTTTATTTAATGCATGCAAATGAGCTTATCTTGAGTTAGCAGAAAATTCTGAAACTCACACCCCCATCACCAGTTGGTGAGTTGGCTGTTTGGTCTGCACTTGATTTAATTATCAATTATGTTTAACTTACATGTTTTAGGTTAATTGTTAAATGGATTTTGGTTCTTATTCATTCTAATGTCATTTATTGTTACAATGTTTTTTATTTCTGTCAGCTCAATTAAATTTTTAGTGCAATGCTTATGCTTGCAATAATTACTATAATTGTTTTCTTAAATCTTTCTGCACATAAAAAATCGGCACTTGCATTTGCCCTTGACTGTTTTAACTCTATAGTTTATTCCTTAATTACCTATCCTATTTTGGTGGTTCATGTTTAAAGTCAAATTAACATTACTAAATCACCTCACAAGGCAAATAAATTACTAGGTCTCTTATTGCATCTATATTAATGTTTATTTGTTTGTTTCAGTTGCTGTGCATATCATTCCACCCATAGTTTCATAACCCATAGTCCATAGTCCCATGTTTGTTTAACCCTTTAGGGGGCAAGCATTGAAATATCCAGAAATTAGAATTTCAGACACCATTTCAAGAAAGTAAGAAGTATTATACAAAATATTTATTTGTACATATTGTAAAAATTTTACCCATTGAAGGTTTAAATGGCACTTGAAGAATTCATTAAATGCAGTCAGTACCTACACAAAATTTTTCTTTATAATTCAAATTTTGCTTATGCAAATGGAAAATTAGTAAAATAATTATTTATTTTGATTAAATTTAATCAAGTTACTTGAAATAATTAATGATATATTGATATTTCCACCCTTTGAAAAAATGCGGAAAGAGTGTCAATTCCATTGTCCATGGCAAAACCTTCATTTAAATGGTCATATTTTAATTTGTGGACAGTGCAGGTGGTGGAGCTATGGATGGAATGATAGTCAGATAATTAGTGTTGACTGAGGCATGATAAGAAAGCCTAAGAAACAAACAGGAAGCCGTGGTGGGGCTTTTTGTAAGGCAATTTCAAGTGATCATGTATGGTAACTTGCTTGTTAAAGGGTTAAATTATAATTGATTCAATCTTTATGAGTTTTGGCAAACTTTTTCTTATAGTATAAAATTTTCAACATATTGGCTTATCTTTTAATAAATGGAAATAAATACTCAAATAAAAACAAACCCCTAAATTCCTTAATTCCCATTTTCTGTGACAAGCACTATATGAGTAAATTTTGAGCAAGTGAACAAGTTTGTTCCACCTGCTAGTGCGCCTGGTTACAGCGCTTCACAATCAATGCGCACAATGCCTGATGATTGACACAGACATACGCGCTTTACGATGCCTGATCATCATCATGCACAGTGGAATTCTAAGAATGGAAGTTTACTTATAAAAAAGATTTCCATCCAAGGTGGAAAGTTTTCCTTAGATACAGTGCTCTGCCAGTGCCAGGTGACTGACTATAAAGAAAAAGGAGAATCAAAAGTGGACAAACTGTTCCAATTGTATAAGGTAGTACCTCAGATTTGTTATAGAATTGTTTGGATATTTCTTTTTTATTGAAATTTTTTATTATTCTTTTATTTAATGGATTTTTTTTATATTTTCTAGGCCCTTTGCTTATAATGAACAATGATTGAGATCAAGTTAAGTATTAAGTCAAGTTAGTATAAATATTTAGTTAACCTGTACTGTAGTACATATACAGCAATCCCTTGATTAGCACGGTTTTGAATACCGCGGTTTTGATTAATGCGGAAAAAAAATTTGCGACCTACCCTTGATCTACGCGGTGCCAGTTTTGATTAGCGCGACTTTTTTTTCACAATGCATCGTTTTCCTGCCTCTAGCCAGAGGTGTTACGTTTGTGCTTATTAGATCTTATGTTGTGCTTCTGTTACGACTTTTGGCAAATTCGCCAAATGTTGTTACTTTATGAATTTCAGCCAATAATTCTTTAAATAAGGTCCCGTTCAGTAGGCACTCATGCTGATTAAGTTTGATTAGCGCGGTTTTGCTTAACACGGTAAAACTCGGGGATTTATTAACCGTGTTAATCAAGGGATTGCTGTACTACCATATTTGGGGGCAGGGCTTTTGAGCACAACCTATCACAGCTCTTTACAATCTTGTCAACCAATCACAGCTGGAAAGGGGATAATATCACAATCTCATCAGCCAATCATAGCTGGAAAGGGATAGGATATGTAAATAATG